CCCCGCCCACATCTGCTTAAAAACTAAGGAAAAGAAGAGAAATGAACATACTGTTAGTTTCCTATGACATCATCTTCTCAGCCATTTAACTCAAGTGAAATCACTAAAATACAGATATGGGAAACACCTGCGGGTTCTGTGCCATTTGCCTCCTGCTGAGACCTAGTGGAAGTATCTCCTTTTAAATTTCCTCTTCACTGGGGCGACAACCGTCCTTTTATTTGTATGCTACTTATATGTATCCATTTATGGTTATTCACATGGGTTCAGATCTAATGACTATGGGAAAACTCATCTGCCCTAGAGCTTTCCCACGTGTGCACACACGCATCTTCATCAGTTATGCTAATAGAACTCAGGAAAACATAAGCCCACCTCAGAGTAAGCCAGGTGCAAAGTACTAGAACAAAACTAGACTGGGACATTATACTTATCAACAAACTTTCGTTGAGTGCCTGTTCTGTGCCAGGTACTCTTGATACCCTTCCAGTGCCCCTTTGGAGCACTAGAAGACAATATGTAAACATAAAAGATAAATAGTAAAACAAGGTAGACTACAATAAATGCAAAATCAATTCTATATGCTACAGCATAATATGATGGAAATACCAGATTAGAAGTCAGGAGAGTCCCAGAACTTTGGGAGGCCGAGGTGAGAGGATTGCCTGAGAGAACAGCCTGAGCAACTTGGCGAGACCTCATCTCTACAATAAATAAAAAAATTAGCAGGGCGTGATAGTGCGCCTGTAGTTCCGACTACTTGGAAGGCTGAGGCGGAAGGATTGACTGAGCCCAGCAGGTCGGTGGGTGTGAGCATGCCAGTGCACTCCAGCCTGGGTGAAAGAGTGAGACTCCAACTCAAAAAAAAGAATAAAGAAGTAGGGAGATCCGGATTCTGTCCCAGTTCTGATACCTTGGACATGTTATCACTCAAAACCAGGGGTCTGCAGACTACTGCTTGCAGGTCAAATCCAGCAAGTCAAAAACCCCTGTTTTTGTAAATAAGATTATTGGAACAGAACATTTGCTATATATTAGGTATGGCTGCTTTGGGCTACAATGGCAGAGTTAGGGAGTTGCAAAAGAGATGTACAGCCTACAAAGCCTGAAATACTAACTGGCCCTTGCCAGACTTAAACTCAGTGTTTTCTCATCTCTAAAATGGGACTAATATCTGCCCTGTCAGTTTGACAAAATTTGCCCTGAGAACCAAATGGGAGCCTGTAATCCTGCGCCTTTGGGAGGCTGAGGTGAGTGGATTGCCTGAGCCCGCGGGCTTGAGACCCGCCTGGGCAGCGAGACCTCATCTCT